AGAAATTTTAATCAGGAATTACTTTTTTACCTTGGCAACTGCCTGGATGGTAATACGAATAGTTTCCCTGCGTTTGACAGATTTCTCTTTCAAGAGCGCACATGTTATCAAACGTTCGACCATTGGAAGCACACACGAGATCCTGGTAAGATGGACACTGGGTAACGCACACACACTGAGCAACACTTGCTGACACTGCTTGACAAACACCAAAATATTCACAGGTCTTGTTGATGCATGGATCAAGATCTAATAATATAAAAAAAAAAAACATAAAAAAAAAACATAAAATGCAATACCAACAACTTATAAATTATTAAAATGATTGCTAAAATAATGCCATTAAAGTTTAAAATAAAATAAGAACGAAAACGCTTTGCAATAGCTAAAGCATAAACTAGTGCATCCATCATTGACGAAAATACCTTAAAAACAAATATACATAACTGTCTTTCTTACCTCCAAACACCATATAGTCCACCTCGATAGGGTGATGTTTGTTCYTCAGVCCAACAAGGTCYTTAACACATGTYTTAAATTGTGTTCGTGTAGTTTCCTGCAACAAGCAATAGTCTAGTTATCAAATGATTGCAGACGAAATTCAAGTCGACCAAGGAACATCCACATTTTAAATTTTCCATATTATATCAAGACTATTACACCCGATTTCAAATGAGTGCGTACTCTCGAATTTTTTTCCGACGCTAAACTTTCACTCGACCGTCATTCACTCGACCACTTGGTAACCTGGCACAGCTTGAAGCGGGTAACATTAGCCAAGTATAAAAAACATGGTTAATGTATATCTGTTGGTTAAATTCCTACAGTTTGTGATCGCACTGCAAAACGAACTTATTATAAAAACTAGTTTCGGTTTACTTAACTTTCTCAGCTCACAATTACAACGAAACAGTTGAAAAATAAATAGCGTGACAAACACTGACAAGCGCGCGCACTTTAAATCGCTTTTAGTGTTAGTAGGCTGTTCTTTGTTGATTTTACTAGTTTACTGATTAAAATGAGGAGGTTATCGGACGATATTCGGTGGAAGGTTATTTACCATGAACTTATTTACGGTTCAAGCATTAAGGAAACTTGTAGATTGTTATTTGTAGGGAAAACTTTTGTTTGTAAAATTCGACAACTTTATAAACGTACAGGAAATGTTGCTGTACATACACATGTAAGTGTCATTGTAAACTTGTATTCAATCAATCAGGGTTTTTACAGTAACACGAATAAGAATATAATTATTTACTTCTTCGAAAGAAGGTTACATTTAAACATAAGCTACTTCGTTTTCAACCTTTAATTTAAACAACAATGTTGCAATTATTTTTTCGCTTGCTTGATAATTTTTTTATTGTAAACTTAAATTGTTTACATAACGAAAGAAAAGAAAAATGTGTATTTTAGTTCAACATAAGAATATCTTTTCAAGATGCAGAAAACAACACCCTCAAGTTCATGGTTCTTGCAAAGCTATACCTAATTGTGCAAAGTATTATTTGCATGCATTTGATGTTTACAAGTTAATAAAGCCAAATTTAAACTACAAATCAGATAGAAAATTATATTTTTTAATCAAGTTTAGTTGATATTCTTCTAATTGTTCTCAATTGCATTGAGTGAAGTAGAATGTTCTGGGAAACACAAGGACCACAGATATCTCGAACAAAGACCACCGCTTCTTCCTCCATAATTCTAAATGCGAAAGTCCCGCTACAGAAAGTCACGCATCACTTAC